GAGGAGAGGAGAGGAGAGGAGAGGAGAGGAGAGGAGAGGAGAGGAGAGGAGAGGAGTTTACTGGCTGAGGACTGAAATACTTTCTTCACTCTACTCTCACTTATGCAACAATGTACGAGCTCTCTTTTTAAGTACTCCTTCTATCCCTGGCCATTTGGGATACAGATATCCCTATGGGGTCCAAGAGGGGATTAGCCCTGCATTGCAGGATGCCTCTTACTGCGTTCAGAGCAAAATGCTCGGAATTGCACTAAAAACTCACGTTGGAGCAAAGGAGCTGAAACCAAGCTCTGCACGGGGGCTGAGACGTGGGAGCCCCTTCCCTACTGCAATCTGGAGYGACAAGAAAAACCATCAGCCTATAAAAAAGTAAAASATTTACTTGKAAAACMAAAATAAAATAAAAAATACTGCTSTCTYAAACATGAATCAGCGTCTGGCATCACAGCAAAGCTAAAGAGCACTGATGCCACAACTGCTGTGATGAGCAGATACTAGAGAAATGAAGGTGCTCAGTGAACACCTAGTGGCTCTGGTGCCTTTTCTGGCACTAGCCCCGAGAGTGAAGGCTTGTTGAGCACCTCTGCCTGCTCTTAGGGGCAAGACACTTTATTACAGCTTAAAACAACACCTGGGAACTTGCATCCACCACGGCTGAAACAGTAACCCGTTCTACTGCTGTCCCAGTAAGGAATGCATGAGAAAATAAACAGATCTGCCAAAAATATCACTCCTCTGTGGCCCTGGAATTCCCATTGCTGGAATTAATTCACCTGATGACAACAGCCTTCTGCTCACACACTTGTTGAAGCCCCACCTCGTGTGCAGGGACGCGGGACTGCGGTATATAAGGTATATAAGGACATATAAAGAGCATTTGCCTCTCAGCCCGGGGCATCCCCCACTTCCCTGGGGAGGTGTCAGAAGGAGCTGGTTTTCCCAGGGGCTGCACTTCACTTCCAAGGAGCCCCCCGGCTTCCAGGGCTGCACTTGCAGCTCAAAGCCGGGGAGAACTTTGTTCCCTGCGGATTCCCGCCGGTACAGCGGGGTTTTTCCCTAACCCTGCCCCAAAGAGGGATGTGCAGAGCTGCCAGCCGTGAGTGCCGAGCTGCGGGCGCTCGCGGGGCACCCCGCGCTCCCCGAACCTGCCGCTCCCGCCGCCGCCGGGCCCCGCTCC